TTTTTTTTGGTAGCAATTTTAGGTCTTTGCCACAATATTCAGATGTGGCTCCTGAATATTTTTTGAATTTGGCAACACCAGGATTGGAGTTTGAGTGTGGAAAACTCAGCTTTAATTTACAGCTGCCACGAACTCAGGAGCATCCAGGCTGGAGTTGGTTTTTATTAAACAGGATTTGATTTAGTCCAAAGTGAAACCATTTGTGTTGAGCCTGACCCCCGAGGCTGCTGTGAGGGTGAAAATCCTCCAAGAATTCAACATTTTCTGGGCCAGCAGGGCTGTGCAAAGAGTTTGGGAACCTGGAATAGTTTTTTTTTAGGGATCTGTTTCCTAATTAAACTTCAGATCTTCCTGTTGTGACAAGAAGAAATTTGGTGAGAAATGTCCCTCAGCATCAGCACCACAAACGTGGAGCTTTTGCCAGAAATTCCTGTTGGATTTGAACAGGAAAATCACTGAGGGCGTTTTTGTTTCCACCTGTCCTTTGGGAGCTCCTGGTGGAATTTTTGGGCAGAGCAGCTCGTGCTGAACCAAGAAAATTGCAGAGCCAAAAAAAAAAAAAAATGGCTTTTTAAATCTTTCCCTATCCCCATGAAAATGAGGACAAAGAGCTGGATGTGCCCAAACCCTTTTGGAGCTGACCCTGGGGGAAAAGCCTCTCCAATCTGGGAATTAAATCCCTGAGGAATTGAAATAAATCCTGATGGAACCCACGGGTGGGACTGGGATCTCCTCCCCAAAAAAAAAACCTGAGGTGTGGAGTTGGCACTTTGGGGATGCAGCCCTTTGTGAAATCCAGCAGCTTTTCTATGTAATTTAAAATTTAAGGTTCTGAGCTGGGAATTCTTTGTTGGGAATATTTCAGTTTGTCATCAAGATCCAATGAGGGTTCTGTAGAATTCCTGCAAAGAAAACCAGGAGAACTTTTCCACCTGAGTGAAAAGAAAAAAAAAAATGGGGAGAAAAAGGAGAATGTGCCTGTGCTGCCATGGCCCTGCTGTGATGTGAAGGATTTTATTTGGAATATTCCATGTCCCCTTCCCTCAGGTGGGAGAAAACCTTGGATTTTCTCCTGCTTTCCTTGTGATTCTCACCCAGACCATCGATGAAAGGTGATGGCTGTAGGATATTATAGGATATTAATTATAGGATATTATTCCCAATCAATTAATCCTGATTTATTGAGCTTCAGTGCTGAAACACCACCACTAATTTTTGGGAATAAAGATTTCCTGCCTTGCCTTTTGTATTCCCTTCTTCCTGAAACCCTTGGATTCTTTTTCTTGTTCTTTTCATGCTCTTTCTCCCAAGACTTCTTTTGGTTTTGGTTTTTTTTTTTGAGGGTTTTTTTTTTTTTGAGTTTTTTTTAGTCTTGCAAGTCAAATTAACGTGAGATTGCCACGATTTCCATGGGAGCTGTGGGAGGGGGAAAAATGGAATTTCTCACTCGGAGCAGCCTCAGTGATCCCCAGTGCTCTCCCAAATCTGAGTTTATGTCGTGCACGAGGGGCTGGAAAACTCTGAGCATTCATCCCAAGGGCAGGGGAGGGTGGAAAATTTTTTGTTTTACCAACAAAAATTTCTTTTCCAACATCACTGAGGAGCTGTGGTCACTTGGATGTGTCAGGACACTGAAATTCCACGTGGGGATATTTAAAATATTTGGCTCAAGGTGCTTTTGAGTGAATTCCTTGGGTGTGAGTGGATGGGTTTTGTTTCCCATTTGAACAAAATTTTTTCCCTTGACTTGCTGCCTCAGGATCGAGAGCAAACACGAAGTCACAATCTTAGGAGGACTCAACGAATTTGTTGTGAAGTTTTATGGACCACAAGGAAGTAAGTTTGGGACCTTTCCAGAAAAAAAAAAAACCAAAAACCAAAAAAAAACCAACCAACCAACCAAACAAACAAACAAACAAAAAACAAACAAAAAAACAAAAAAAAAAAAACAAAAACAAAAAAAAAAAACCAACAAACAAACAAACAAAACAAAACAAAAAAAAGACAAAAAAACCCCCAAAACCCCAGTGCCTTGTGGTGGGGGAATGAGGAAATGATTTTGCAG